TGAGAGGCAAGCTGGGCTAGCGGCTTTGTTCACACAAAAAGTGAACCCCCACCACAAAAATGAGAGGCAGCATATGAAACAGTAATATGCTCTTTCCGAGCCGGCACCGTCCTGCAGAACCAGGGAACGTCCCCGGTGTTCTAACAGACCCAACGCAGGCTGGATATGTACGCAACGGAAAGACAGCCTCGCAAACCACACGACACAGCAGGAGCGTTTCAGAACCAGGAACAGGACGGGGGGTAAGGTCTGTAAAACGCTCAGAAAAACTTATCGTCGATTCTAAAGTGGGGCCGCGTGACATCGTCGGGGTTAATAAAGACCGAGATGGACTTCCCCGGGTTCTCAGTCACGAGCTGCTGCAGTTTCTTGGCCAAGCGGTCGTCAGGCTGGCTGGGGTCCCCGCCGTCCGACTGTGGGGAGGGGAGGCTGGTGGTGCTGCCCCGCCGCTGCAGCTCCAGCGTCAGCCGGTTGGCCGCCTTGACGTGCTCGATGGCCGTGCGCAAGTGCTCGGCGGGGTCCGAGCGCACGGAGGACAGCTTGCGGGCGTGGAGCAAGACCGTCTCCTCCGAGAGGGCCTCCAGCATGTTGCACTGCGGGATGAAATAATTGGGGCACAGCTTGTTGACGAGGCAGTGTTGCAGGTCATCGATGAGGCCCAGCAGAAAGTGGGCTGCATAGTCTTCTTGAGCCAGATAGCTCGCAGGGAGTCGGTCGCAGGCCCAGAGCATCATGCTCCGTAGGTGATAGGGACTAATGGCCTTGGGCCGGGACAGGAGTTTGATGATGATGGCTTTGCAGGCCTGGTAGGCCTGCATGAGGCTGCTGGAGATGCACTTCTTCAGTTGCACCTCACTCCTGGCAAAGGACAGCCTCCACTCGTTGTCCTTCTTGCCCTTGTAGGAGCAGGCGGGCACCAAGTAAAACCCACTGATGACCTCCTCTTCGGTGATCTTCCCATCCCAGAAGTGATTCTCCATGAGCCAGCTCTGGGCGACCGCGGGCCAGCCTTTGAAGGAGACCACGGGGACAATGTCGTACAGCATGCGGCTGCTGCCCACCCCCAGGATGATGGAGATGATGGTCCCGTTCTTCTCTACCTTCTCCACCTTGGGCATCCCTCGCTGGGGCTTCTTCTGTATCTCGGACAGGACGATGCTGATGGAGTCGTAGAACCAGTCGGCCACTTTGGTCGGCGAGAAGAAGAAGTTGGTAGCGCCGTTGAGGTGATCGACGATGGTGCAGCAGCCCTTCCACTTACTGATCGTCCCTTCGTCAAAGAGCCGGAGGCTCAGCCAAGAGTGGCACAGGGCGGAGTGGCGCATGTCGAGAGTCACAGGCTGATTACGGTCATGCAGCTTAAGGGCTGGCACCAGCAGGGTGAAGTCCATGTCATAGTCGGTCCCCCGGGCGTAGACATTCAGCTCATCCAAGTCCAGGTCGACCACACCTTCCCGCACTCCTCCTGAAAGCAGCAGGTACTCATTGGCCACGGGGAGTTTTTGGTCCAGTTTTTGCACCATTCCTGGAAACGCAAAAAGAGAATGGGCTATTTATCCATAGCATAGGCACAGTGGTCTTAATGCATTAATGAACCATGCTGTAAGCATCCAGCTCCTGTACAACGGACCTAGTCGTCCTTAGTAATCAGATCTCAGGCTACTGCATAGCTGAGGCTCCCAGGATGGGCACCATGCCTCCAGTATCTATGAACACGCCAGAGGGTATGCAGTCGGTAAAGGAGACTGGGGGGAGGAGGGATGTCTTCCTCCCCTGCTAGAAAAAATCCAGCCTTTTGTAAATGGAGGCTTACAGGATGTGTTTACTCCGCAGTAAACATCAATGTCATTTGTGATCACAAAGGAGGGCTCTTCCTCCAGAGGCATCACCTGAGCGACACACTGCCATCTGCTGGGTCGTCCAGGCTGAAAGCCTTGGTAGGTTTCCACTCTCTCCTGACCGTCCACTGCCCATGGGGCCATGGTCCCCTCTGAGGTGTCTCTCTCTCCTCCCCCACCCCCCCAGCTCTGCTGTGCATCACAAGTGGTCAGGGGCTGTTGCTCTCCTGCTCAAGTGGTCTCCCTAAACCTTCCTCTTTAATAGCAGTCCTCCAAATACTAACGGCAAACCACTGAGCCGCAGATACGCTGTGAGGTCCCAACTCCATAATGCTAAGGCTTGGACCCTTTTCCTCTGCAGACCCTGTGCCGATGTTACAGAAGCCCAGGACTGTCAAACTGCTGGCCCTGTAGCACCAATCGGAGCAGTGGCATCCAACTGTGCTAGTGGACACTGGATGCTTCACTGCCATGAGTCAGTACTGAGCTTCTGTAGAAAGCCAATTTCAGTGAAGTTGTTGATGAAGCAGTAACAGGATGATTCATTTTATTAAATTCCCAACGCTTGCATAACCAGCTTTCTCATATTCAGTGTGATGGAATGGAAGTAAGTATAAAGAACTTGTGCTGCATAGGAAACGCAAAAGCAGTCTTTAGGAAGCGCTCTGGTGTGTTCTGCTTTTTGTTTCTGAGAGGCAAGCTGGGCTAGCGGCTTTGTTCACAGAACACCACTTTCTGCCGAAAGAACAACTGGAGCGACTGATGAATGGATCATGCAGATGTGCGTGTCAGAGATATGTTCTGGGGTGGGGGCGGAGAACAAAGTGAGATTTTCTTTAAGAAAACACTGGCTGAGATTTATTGCCAATGGCTAACATTGGAACTTGGAAAAGAAACTAGAAATTGGAAAAATTATAGTCTGATCTGACCTTGACACCTTCTCAAATCTTCTCCTTTTTCAGATGAGACTGGTGGGAACAGACACGGATGTGATTTTTTGGGGGGTGAAGACCACATTGCAAATATCTATTAAAATGTCCTGGGGTAAGCATGCAGTCCGACCATAATTAAAACCACAGCTGACTTCTAATGCCAGTGAAGGGATGGATGTGATATCTGCCTGTCCATTTGCCACACTGCTGTCTCACAGGTTGCTATGAGGCTGAAAGCCATGCCAGCAGTCACCCATGGTGAACAGGTTGCAGCTGAGCTTCCAGATTAACAGAGACTAGGAAGACAGGGCTGGCAATCTACTTCTAAAAAGTGTTGTGCTGAAAATGGTTCAGAGCACAGGTCATTGTTGAACTCCCTTGCTTTGGCTGTATCACCCAGAGAGATCAAGGGCTGGAAGACATCCTACTTGGTGAAGTAGAGGGTGAAGGAGGTCCTCCCTCTATGAGACAGGCTGACGAGCCATAGTGACAGACTAGCGCATGACCATGATAATGAGATGGCAGAGGTCCGTGCCAATTCTGTTACACGTCAGTAGCCGGAGACGACTTGATGGCATCTCTCTATCTGATCCCGACGTCCTGTGATACAAAGTATCAGCTCCTGTCTTCATATAGACTTACTTGAGCGCCATTGTCCGATAATCTACCAGTATCACTGCGTCATTTATTCGACAATCTTTTGCCCAAGATCCCAAGGAACTATGACAAATACGATCCCATTTGTCACTGCAAAGACTTTAAATCCACAGTTTGCTGCTACCGGAGCAGTCTCAGTGCGGAGAGTTAAACACCCCATGTATGTGTGAGTTTGCTACCATCTATGTCAAGGTGTAGTATTTGTTTCTGAAAAATGCTCTTTTTATCCTTAGAAAGCATATTTCCCTAACCACAGAAAGCACAAAAACCAAAAGAGTCCTTTAGCTAGTATCTTGCAGATAGGGATAGAAGAAATTATCACTCTCTTTTAAAATTTAATCAGTAAATTATCCAAGGATATAGACCATTGGTTCTCAACCTGTGGGTTGCAAACCCTTTGGGGGTTGAACGACCCTTTCACAGGGGTAGCCCGATTCCTAACAGTAGCAAAATTACAGTTATGAAACAGCAATGAAAATAATGTTATGGTTGGAGGGGCGGTCACCACAACATGAGGAACTGTATAAAAGGGTGGTGGCATTAGGAAGGTTGAGAACCACTGGTATAGAGGCAACTCAGCACAGAGAGAAGAAAGCAGTTTGGGTTGTTTCTGAAACTACATAGGAAGACATGCCAATTCACCACCCGGGTGCCCCTTCTGACGCCTGTCAGTGACGGCAGCAGGTGGCCCAAACCCTTCAGGATTGTCTCAGCCACAAAAGTCATCTCCACCAAGGAGGCCACGCCCAGTGTGTGTCTGTGGGTTTCTGTGTGCCTGTGTGTGTGTGTGTGTCCAAATGCTCATCAATCAAAGAGCATCCTGGTTCAAGATACTCGGAAGGCTCTTCTAAACCAGAGCTCTCTCCCCCCAGGGTAAGCCTGGTTCTCTTTGGGTCTACTGGGAACCTCAGTTTCTCCTTCAGGTCCAGGTTTCTCCTTCAGTCTGCTTTGTTCCCCGGTCCCTCCCACGGCGGTGGGGTGTGCAGGTGCTCCTGACAAAGTACCCTCTGTGAGAACGCCGTCTCTGAGGCCACTTCGGGGGGACCCAACCTACACCACTTCCCACCACAAGCAAAACCCTACAAATGCATCAGTCAAGTAATAACAAATTAGTGCTATTGTAAAGGGCTGCCATTCATCATAAACACCCAGCCGAGATCATTTTCATAATCGTCTCAGGTTTCCACTTGAGCCTCATTTTATAAC